GAACCGCCGTATCTTCAGGATTAAAACTCTGAAACGGGAGAGGGAGACGCACAAATGCCTCTGTTGTGAAATCAAACTTCATCAGGAAAAGGCCAGTTTCTTTGTCTCCAGCAACAAAGTAAGTATCTCCTTTCAAAGACATGCCATCGCAAAATATGCCATAGTCACGAGTGAAATCAAGAACCCTCCAAGAATCAGAGCTAAACTCATAGATTTCAAACTCATCGACCCGGACTTCCTGGTCGTTTTCATAAGAGCAAGACCTCAAGATTTTGTAGCTATGCGCAGATGAAGAAGATGCGCTGCTCACGACATATCCTAGATCATAGCTATCATCACTCCGGTAACAGGTTCTGCGTTTGATCCGCCTCGTTTGGCCAGTGCATGGATTCCAAACCACTAGTCTAGTGTTTCCTTTAGTCGAGCACAATATTAGATATTTCCAAATCTTTTGAATCCTTTGCACTGCGAAGTTTACCTGTAAAATCGATAGGTTCATCAACCCTGTTGTTGTGGATGATATTCCATGGAGATCGCCGCCGATTGAACGAACCCCAAAATTACTCAGTAACATCGACTCCCTCGGTGACTTACTCTTGTTCTTCTTCACGAATATGGGATCTCTGAATAGAGCGTACCATCGCTTGCAAGTTGTTTTAAATTCCGCTAGAGACTTGGCCGGAACCCTAAAGAGTTTTTCCGGTTCCAAATCGTCTGGAAGATTGGAAATCTTCATCGTTGTTCTTCTCATGATTTCTCGAGGAGTGAAGCGTCGATATAAGCGATACGGTGGTCTTCATATTAATATATTAGGGTTTTATTTACAAAAAGTCCCATTATACGGTAGCCTATTAATATGATTTAAGCTTATTATTTTTATTTTTACTTTTTACGTATCTCCCAAGTAAGAGAGCCACGGGACTGCAAAGAGCAATTAGGGTTTTAAGTTTGTAATAAAGAAGGTATATTAGTAATTTAGCAGAATATATATCAAGTTTGTGTTCTTGTAGTTAATTACTTGTAGATGTTTGTGTTGTAGTCAGAACCTTATTATATACGTTTGTGTTGTAGTCTTATCACTGCATATTATTTGAGAAGTAACATTATTGAAAATATTTTACTTGTCAATACTACAGCAAAAGTTAGTACTTTTAATTGATGACATGTAAATGTGACATGTCAAACTTCCTAAAATAAACAAAATATTTTGATTGGTTGAATTAAAATTATAGAAATTGTAGAATTAAAACATAAATAAACTATATTATATTTGTAATACTAAAATTAACAAATTTAAATTAACAGAAAATAAAAGTTATTATAATTTCAACTTTTTAACATATATTCATAATTTCATAAAATATAATTACGAAATTTTTTTAACAATATATATATATATATATTATAATTTCATATAAAACAAAAAATAATACTAAATTATCCAATAGAATAATAAAAATTTTATTTGTTATTAATACTTGAAGTATGATATATTTTTATTTCGAAAAGTTATTAATTTACAAAATATATTAATAACATCTAAACAAGTTTTAAATAAACAAATTATTAAATAATAAAATTTTAAATAAAATACAATCATGATAAAAATAATTTACAGAATAAAATGTTAAAAATAATAAAAAATAATCAACTTTTATTGATTTTTTTTTAAAACATAATTTTAAATAATTTTTCTTTTCAAACTAATATTTAATAAATGAATAAAGTATATACTTACTATTATTTTATAATATTAATAGGACCATATATTTTTCTATAACTTTTATCATTTTTTATTGTTGTTTTCTAAAATGTACATAACTTATGTTACCATCTCATCTTATCTCTTATCATATTTTAAATAAAAATAAATTTTATATCATATGTATATATATATATACATAAATTTATTTTCATTGTATATCAAAATTTGAGAACATAAATAAAATGAAAATTAGTCTGTAATCAATCTTAATAAAATACATGCACGGGAAAGTTCGCATGTGACTTCAACTAATGTACAATTAATATTTATGTATGTACGCGTGTTTGTAAAAAGTTGAAATATGACTCTTAGGTGTTAAAAAATATTTTTGTAAAAATATTTATCTATTCTAAGTGTAGTGAAGTGGTTGGTATGTCTGCACATGCATGCCAATCATCTATCCGCTCTTAAGAATAAGTAAAAATGGTAAAAACTATTTCAGTTTAATTTGCAAAAAAATCAAGAAAAATATATACTTAAAATATATTATATATGTATTTACAAATTCATATTATTTAAGATGCAAAAAAATATATTGTAGATTGTGTAAGGAGAAATAAAACATATTATAGAAATATTCAAAAAATATTATAAGAATTTAATTATTATTTAACATAACTTTTATATTTGTGATTATATATTATTACAAGCATTATAAAAATAACGTTTTTAAAATACATTGGTTTCAGAAAAAAAATTTTGAAATATTAAAACAATATATATACAAACATACCAATGTTTAAAAAAACTAATCAGTATTTAAATATTACAATTAACTATGTATATAAAAAAATTTATACCCGCACATATATGCAGGCAACCACCTAGTAGTTTAATTACATGCATTGATTAAGGTTCTGTCTATCTATACGATGATATTTTCAACCATGTGTAGTTAATTAATTACTTCTTAGCTCCATACTCTTTTGCATCTGTCTTTTTCATTTCTTTTTGTTTTTTTTTTCTTCTCAATCTTTTGATGTGAAAGTGACATATAAGGAGCGTTACAAGGATTCCATGGAGATCGCCGCCAATTGAACGAAGAACAAAGTTACTCAGTAACATCGACTCCCTCGGTGATTTACTCTTGTTCTTCTTCACGAATATGGGATCTCTGGATAGAGCGTACCATCGCTTGCATGTTGTTTTCAGTTTTGCTAGAGACTTGGCCGGAACCCTAAAGAGTATTTCCGATTCCAAATCGTCTGGAAGATTGGAAATCTTCATCCTTGTCTTCTAGTGATTTCTCAGAGGAGTAAAGCGTCGAAATAAGAGATGCGGTCTTCATATATATATATGGTTTTAACTTTCCTTTTTTGTCACTCGCGCAATTGGTATTAAATAGAGAGGGTATATTTGTAATTTAGCAGAATATCGATTTGAGCGTGATGGTTAATTGTTACAAGAAGGAGGATTTAGCACAAAGTCATGAATTTTTCGATAGTGACACTTTGATTTCCTTGACGCTTCTTACAGAGATGGCCTCCGCTTCATGCCTGTAAAAACTCTCTCTCTCACACACAGACAGTTTAAGAGAATTCTTACCTGAAACCAATTTGAAGATGAACAAAATGAAAAGCGTTTACTATGTTTATCAACAAAAAAGGAAAAAAGCAAGAAATCAAGAAACTAGGTAATTAATTTGACTAACCTCATTGTTTTTCTTTTTCTCTTGCCTTTGGTTGTATTCTTCTGAATAATGTGAACCGAACTCGGAACGTAATTCATGAGAAGCGGCCACGTTCCCTTTGTAATCATTTTATCATAGACTTGTTTATAGACATTCTCTCCAACTATGAAAATGCTGCTCCTCTTTTCATTTTCCACGTCTATACTACAACACGCTGCCACTTTACTCTCCTCGTCCAGCAAGAAACTCACCACATTTACCAACTTTCCCAACATAAAACCACCCAAATCCACTGCTAAGAACTCGCTCCACGTCACCTCCTTGTTGGTTTCATCGATCCTACTCGTCACCCAAATCTTCACCTCTAATGATAATCTATGAAGATACTGATGCAACACTGAGAGTTGTTCGTCTCTAAAAACTGATAGAACCGCGGTATCATCATGATCATCAGTTCTTATATCATCAGGACCATCACAAGGATACGGAAGAGGGAGACGCCAAAATCTCTCTCTTGTGAAATCGAAACCGAGTATGAATTTGTCGAAGCTGTCATGTTCAACTTCAGCAAGCCAGTAAGTGTTTCCTTTTACCGACACGCCACGAGATGCTATCTCCCAAGCATGAGCCTCGACTTCAAGAACCCTCCAAGAATCAGAGGTAAACTCATAGACCTCGAACTCAGCAACCTTGCGATGCAGGTTTCTGTCGTAATGAGAGGAATACCTCAATATCTTGTAGCTATTGCAAGAAGACTTGCTGTCTACGTATCCGAGAGCAAACATATCAGAACTCTCGTAACACTTTCTAGGTTTGATCCACCTTGTCTCGCTGTTACAAGGGTTCCAAACAACGAGCATTTTGTTTCCTTTCATAGTGCATAATATCAAACCGTTGCAGTAAAAAATCTCGGATACTTCTACATCTTCGGAGTCCTTTAGATTTGTAAGTTTACCTCTGAAATCCATGGATATTGGATCGACGCTGTTATGGAGTCCATGGAGATTGATGCTAGTTGAATAAACATTAGTATCCAACATTAAGACCAACTCACTTCCTCCTTGAGCCAAGTTTCTCTCGACGAGTAGATCTTTGAGTGAAGTGTACCATCGCTTACAAGCAATTTGCCATTTTGCTAGAGATTCTTTCGGAACACTGGCGAGTATTTTCGATTCCAGGTCGTGTGGAAGATCAGGATTCATGATGGAAGAAACCTTATCTCTCTAGGAAGAAAGACTGCAAATGAAAAACCGTATCTTCATTCTAGTTTTCCTTATTTTGTAACTGTCTCCAGATTCGCAGGGATTAGGATTGATATTATTTAAGTTTCTGTAAAACCTTTGAATTTCTAATAGACAATAATAATTCTGAAAACTTTATATTCGTGTTACATAATTTTTTTGTTTAGCAAACGAAATAACATTAATATTGTATGTTCTTTTTTTTAAGATTATCGTTTCCTTTTCCAAGAAACAATGATAGTAAGAAGATTTCTCAATCGTTCATAATAAATATAACATATCTAAACCATAAAACCAAAAAACAAATGATAATATCAAAACCAATAGTTATGAAATGAAATTAGTTAATCATATGATTGATCGCCTAACATTTAGTTTTGATTAAAATCTGGAGGTGTTAAGGCTAAAAAATAGTTTGAGCTTGGAAACAAAAGACAGAACCAATACATCCATGCTTCATACGTGAGCGACCCATTCCTTCATAACACACAGTACCTGAAACATAATATCAAAGAAACACATCATGAAAAACTCGGGTTCGAACCGTTATTTTGCTCACCAGTTGAGAACTTTGATTTTTGGTCTAACAAAAGTAAAATACTTCTAACGAAAAAGCATGATACAGAAAACAAATTGAGAAACAGAGTTTTGATGAAGGCAAATAGCACTTTTTTATGTTCATACCAAATAGGCCAGATCAACCTCGTGGCCAGCTCTCGCTGCACATCATGGCGTTCACAAGTTTGGCCTCCATGGAGACAACAAAATCAGGCGGCTGTCTTTTGTCAGCGACGTAAGCACGGTGCGATGTCCCACGAGAGATTGGAATGGAGAGAATGTCTCGAGCTACTCGTGAGAGGATCGGGTACTTTTGGCTCGCCTCTTTCCACCAATCCAATGCGTTGAAGTCTTTGTTCCACTCCAAAACTGGTTCTTTGAAATAAGAATCAAGTTCTGATTCATGAAACTCTCGTGGAGATCCTTCAAACTTGAGATATTCTTGAAAGAAAACAAAATCCTTGTATGCATCAGGCTTCTTCTCTTTCTCTTTTTCTTCTTCTTCGTCTTCTTCTTCAGTGATATACTTATACCAGTGGGGATTTGGGTAAACTACAGCATCCGCACGTTCTTGTTTCGGACGGATATCACTAGCTGCATAGTGAGCATATAGATTGCGTATATACTCCAAAACAGTTTCAGCTTTTGAACCTTCATCACAAACCTCATTCTTAGAGCAGTAAAACTCGAGATACTTCATCTTGAACCGAGGGTCTAACACAGAAGCAGTTGCCAAAACAAGAAACATATTGTTCCAATACTTATCAAACCTCTCCAATATCTCTTTAGCTTTGTTGATGAAGTAATCATCATCTCCACTCTTGAGCTCCTCATTTAGCATGAATTTCAGCTCCGCAAGAAGATGGAAGTAGACGTTAGACGTTGGATACTCTCCTTCAAAAATCTCCTTTGCAACTTTATAAATGCAACCCGCAAGTTTGCAAAACGTTCTGATCATTATCCACTCTTCATCAGACGGTTGCTCATAGTCCTCGTAATCCTCGTCCTCTTCGAATACATTCTTGGCTTCCATATCAACAGCTTTTTGCAGACTACGCAATGTGACATCCCAATTGGTCGGTGCCGTTCTTCCCCAACCAACCAACATCCGGACACGCTCCATCACCCATATGTTTATGTCCTTAAGCATGTCGTCAACCATCAACCGGAAAATGTCGGAGCAGCAATAGATGAGGAACACTCGAGGGTGGATCGGATTCTTCCCTCTCTCTTCTATCCATTTTCTAAAAGCATCGAACGCTTTGACGCCAAGATCGCTGTAGTTAGGCACAAGAAGAGTCGAGACCTTGCTCTCAATCCCGTACTCCGTGATAACGTTCTTGAAAGAATCAACATAAATGTCTTTTACATTCAGAGACTCACGAGGATGGTACCCCAAGATCCATTTCTTCATCTTGAAAGTTTCATCAGCGAAGTACACGCTGATAACGATAAAGTCCTCGTGCAAAACAGGATCCTCGATGTCTTCACTAGTCCAGTCCCCATGAACCATCCACTCGTAAGAGAGGGTTAGCTTCCCTTCTGCGTCATTCAGCAGCTTCTTGACTTTCTCTTTGCCTTCTTCGTACATCTCGAGAACCGCACTCTTGAGTTTAGAAGTGTCGAGAGAGAAACTTGGGGAGACGATCTGAATCATTTCTGAGATGGTTGAGTTCTTAACGGTGGGGTTAATCCCATAACCAATGGCAACCTTGGCCATAGATCTGTAGCGACGCTTCTCTTCTTCATCTTCCTGTGGAGAAGAATCAACCCCAGACTTCTCTTTATCATCCACAGAATCGTCAAGCTTTTGTTTCTTCTTCATATCTAAAAAAGTCCAGATGATGCACACAGTATTAGCCTATAAGGAATTTACTATACATTCAGAGTTAAACAACATTAAACAGAGAAGGAACCTCAAATATGTGTGTAGACACGAGAATCAGTACAAAGAGACTCCACAGAGGTAGATTCACAAATCACAAAGACTAGAAAGTTGAATTTACAAAACAGAATCCATTAAAAGAAATACGAGAAAGCAGTAAAAGGAGGCAGGATTTAGCTCTCCGGAGAGAGAGAACTTGATGAAACGCACAGTGAAATGGAAAAAATAGGAAGAAGAAGTCAGACCTGGACCGGAGTTGGAACCGGAGCTGAAGCCGGAGCCGGAGGCGAGCTCACCTTTGTCCATACCAATGTTGCTTTTCCAGGGGGAGACGAACGGAGAGAGGCGTTAGGGTTTTCGTTTGAGTAAATTAAAGACGACTCCGATTTTCAATTTTCAATTTTAAACTTTTTTTTTTAATCGATTCAATGCTAGGCGGGAATGCTACGGTTGGTAACGCAAATAATGGACGGCTGAGATTGTTCCAAGAAAAGGGCTTTGTGAAGATTCTCTTTTCGGCTTAATGGGCCGTATGTAACCTTATTACTTAATGGGCCTTTATTTTCGGCTCAGTTTTTTAGTTTTATAAAACGGCGTCGTTTCTTCAGTTTGTCGTTTTTTTAGAGTCTCACCGTTGAATGCCTGCTTCTGTTCGTCTCTCTCAAGCTCGATTTTTTCCCCGTCCGGTCACCTCTCCGGTAAGCCTCGATCTATTTGTCTGTATATCTGCGTCTCTTGTCTATTTGATTTGAACATTTTTTTATCAATTTCATACATTTTCTTCTCTTCAGTCCAATTTCTCTGCTCATTTCCCCTATTTTGTAAACGATCCCCGCATAGATTCAGATTGGTATCTCAATGGATGCTGGTTTCTGTTCTAAGTTCTGAATTTTTTATTTCGTTAATGCCTGAATTGTTAAATTTCTATATCGGATTTTCTGTACAAAAACAGCGGCTTTTCTTGTTTCCATTATTTTTACTTTTAGTAGAGATTGAAAAGAGTGAGCTTGCTCTTCGGCGACTACACCTTCAGGGTTTAGGTTTACGTTTGCTGATCGATAATTGGGAATCTTATGTTACCGTAACAGGGAAAGAAAATCATAATTGAAGCTTAAGATCTCTTGTGGAAATGCCGACTCTGCAAGGTTCTCTGCCTCCTGAGCTCGCTAACAATGTCGTTAGGGTCAGTATCATCGTTTTCGATTTTCTTACAATGTCCACATTAACTTGTGTTTTTTGTTTTTTCTTCTTTCCTTAATGCTGTTTCACTGATCTGTTCGCCTCTTCTTATGGGCAGTTGTACCGAGAATGTCTTCGTAGAGCTACATTCGTTGGTAAGAAGGTGAGATTTCTCTGAACTACTAGTTTTCTCTGAGCTTTGAATATGAGCTAATGGTTTCTCTGTTGCTTGTGTGTGGTATGATTGCCATTTTAACACTTCGAAAACTTAGACGAGATTTTTGCTTTAGAGCAAGGTACTTCGTGTGCAGTTTAATTGAAGCCTGAAGATTTGTATCGATATGATGCAGCCAGAAATTTTTTGAGATTGATATCATATCATCGCTTCTAATTTTGATTTCGCCAGAAAGATTTTGCTTTACTGTCTACATTTGGTATATGAAATGAGTTCTGTTCTGTTTACTCGTTTGTGTCTTGCAGCAACACAACACTGAGCTGGTGGTTGGTATGGTGAGGCAGCAATTCAAGAAACACATGCATGAGACTGACCCAGAGAAGATTCAGAAGCTCAAGGATGAGTGAGTTTTCTTATGATCAGATGTATATCTTATTTATTGATGCATATATGTTGCCAAAAAATGATGTTTCACACACTCACAGAGCTGCACGATATCATTGATGTATACAAAGTACTCTTGGTATTTATTCATCTATATGAAAAGTTTTGTGGTGGTATTTGGCAGTGCTGCTCGGGGACTCATTAATCACATGTTATTTGAGTCGGAGAAGCTAACAGGACGCAAGGTTAGCCAGAGATCTTGATGCAGTCTTGTTGCAGACTCTCGTCGTTATGCACTCTCTGGTTCATTGTAGGCTACGAATGCAGCGAAATTTGCTTTAATAATAAGACTTTGTCATTATGTAGCTCCAGTGATTCATAACATTTGATGATTTTGATCAATCAAGATGTTCTCTACTTCAAATCAAATCATACATTCTTTGACTCTGTTTTACTACATACATTTATACTTTAACCAAATGAGTGTGAACAGAAAGCTTTAGTAACAACACATTTCTCTGCAGATACACTTAAAACAGAAAGACAACTGTGGAGTTGATACTAACATGACATGTATGAACGATGCAACAACATTGACCCAAAGTATTATAAACCAAATTCAGCAAGAATTGCTAATATTATATATGAATGTGAAGAGACAAACAACGTTCACTGCGTAACTTTCCGAGAAGTAGCATTGCAAGGAAAAAAAAAAACCACGTTCTCAGATTATGGAGCATACAGACGGATGCATTAAAGCATCAATTTCAAAAAAACAGTTCTCTAGAAGATACAGAAACATGGATACTAGCTTTGCGACTTTCTACTCTAGTAGAGATTAGTATAATTAGTCTCTCAAGATTGACGAGTTACCTTCAGAGATGAGACAAGTCTGCATGTACTTGAGGACGTAAAGGCACTTGGTCAACTAGACGCCATAATATCTCTGACACGTTTTACGACACGAACAAACTCGTTAAACAAGCCATAATTAAATCCGAAGTCTTTGTCCTTTGAGGCTTCTTTAGAGAGATCAGGTGGTGTTGGTGGGTTTTGACAGATGATAAAGTCGATTCCCCCAAATCTCTCCACCAAGGTCTCTAGCTTCTTTGTCGTTAAGCTCCTGATTTCTTCAATCTGCACAAGCTCCCCGGTTTGTCTTGAAGTCTGCCACCATCTTTTCAGTATGTTACCACTCAACCCACATGGCTCAACAGAGATAACGCCTTTCAGATGGATCCCAAGCCGGCTTAGTGCGATTTCCGCACCACCTATCCCACTAAAGAGTGATAAAACCGTTAACCCTTCAGGGAACATTGACTTGAGCACAGAGAGATGGTACCCCAACGTGTCTGTTTGGAAGCAAAACTCAAACAACTTCAATCTCTCAGCCATCCTTCCACCACCGATGTTGGTGTGGTCTGTCGGATATCCCATGATGCGCTCCAAATGTCCAGGCTCTACAGGTGAGAGGATGTTTGGAGCAATCCATATCAGATTAGAGTTGTGACAATGTCGAAGTATCAGAGTCTGGTCTTGCTGAGAAGGCTTTCCACTGCAATCAGCTAGACGACGTCCGATTCTTTCGCAGAGTTGAGTTGCATCATCCGTTCTAGAACGCGCGCCGCCGTTCAGATGCCTTCTGACATCCCACTGAGGCCACCAGTTCTTCATTTGTGGCATTGCGTCTTGTATAGTCAACGGTGGCTTTGGGAGTATATTGAACCTGTTTTCCATGGGGAGATTGTGCAGGTAACCTTCTGTCCTACGCAGAGGTGAACACAACCGAGCATCTAAGTGCTCCGGGTGAATATCGAACACGAAACCCGATATCTTAGACCACCAGCTAGGAGATAGTTCACATAAGACCCCACATAAGAAATAAGGTCTTCTAGCTACATTCGGAGCAAGCCTCTGTGACAAACGTGGCTGCATTGCACTAGGATATTCATATGTGTTCTCTTTAGACTCATCTTGCATCCATGGGGTATCCATAAACGAACTTGAGTCTCCCAAATAGTCGGGTCTTAGCCGTTTCCCTCTGTCGTCGAAGTCACTATATTCGTCTAGATTCTCATCTTCGTCTTTTATTCTTTTACCCCTTGAGGTCTCTCCCACATTGGCAGTGGCTGTGGGAGGGAAAGGAAGAGAGTCTGAACCAAGATCTGGTTTTACATCAGTAGTGCCACTCGAGGAACGCCCATCATCATCATTCTGTGCACCAACACCAACGAATCTCCAACTCGATGAAAGACATGTATTCGGTGCAGGAGCCGCTGAAACTTTCTACAGTGGCAAGAGATGGTTTCGGTAAGTAACAATAGTAAAAGCTTTTGGCATTGCGATTCAAGAGAGACACAAGTGTATCTTTATGTAGAAAGAGCATACCTTTTCTATATCTTCATGGCCATCACGAATGCCACCAGGAATTTCACCAGTCACAATGGACTCAGCGAGGTCAGAAAGCTTACCTACTGTACCTGAAGAGATACAAAATAGATTTAAGTACCAATACAATAGAGGTGGATACAAAACTAAATTAATAGTTTTCTCATTTCACCATTGGATTATTATGATCATCCATAACAATATAACACCCAAGATTCATATAGTGGCAGACGATCAAGTAAGTGTTTTTTCTCTCATAGACATTCCATAAATTGGATGAACAAGCAAGTGATTAAGTTGCGCACCTATCTTCTCAATTGCCATTGAGATTTCATTATTAGAGAATCCCATTTCCAGAAGATGCAAAGTTTTGTCCATTGTCTCAAACAATACTTCATTGGAAACCTGGATGTAAAACATGAACCAGAGGTTAGCAGGTAATAATAAGCGTAATAACCACATAAATAACAAAAATGCATCTAAAAGAAAATGGACAACAAAGGCGAAGCAACAAATGGACATAAAGGAAACATGTTACGGCATAGAGGAAAGCATAAGCAAGGAAATCAACAGGTAATGTCGAAAGCATCAAAAACCTGAGGTCCCCTAGCAGCAATTTGAACGACAGCTTCATCTTCTTCATTGTTTCCACTGCCGTCAAGTGATTCCTCGGATTCTTCTTCATACTTTTCAGCTAGTTGAGCAGCAGAAATGAAGTCCACCATCTCATCAATTGCTGCGTTTGCACCTATCACCCATAAAAGATAATCATGAAGAAAGGCATCGGCCACATGCCAAAATAACATCTTTCTTCTGCATGCTAAGTTTATGTATGGCTCTAAGTAACACAAATCATCTTTTCTAAAATCTAAATGCAATTTTCTAATACGATCACATGCCATGGATTTCATGCTTAACATCATTTAAAAACAGCTACTTATATGTCATTTCTTATGTTTGTAAAAAAAATCATTTTGGCGTCATATTATGACCGATAAGGTTCTTTTTAGCCTATTCCATATGTCAGAGAATGAAAAGTTCCAGAATGTCACACAAGTAATCTTTAAGAACACAAAATTGTTTTCCTGCAATAGTGAGAAATTTGGTCCATTTTTTAATGTATATACAAAATGCCGAGTGAAAATTATGCAACCTTTGTTGTTTAAAATTTGAATGGAAAGCCAGAGTCATTGTGAATACATTACCAAGCCTATCCAGTGCAAGGTCAACTAAATTTTCCGGGAAATCCATTGTTAGCAACATCATCCTTTTACCATCAGCTTCATATTCTATATCAGGCTCCTGTCAAAGAAAAAGAAAGAAAATTGAGTAACTAAACTGAATGAAATACAATAACATGTCCATCACAATTCACAACACAAGTTACTCCATTTACCGGTTTTGGTTCCATTAGCCCATGAAAGCTGGTCTCAGGATGTTCCTTTACAGGACTCTTACTGAGAATCTCTAATAACTCCTCAAGGTCACCATCACCTAGATGTGAAAAGACAAGCTTAGTAATCCAATCCCCGGTATTAAAATTAGCACTGAAAGAGTAGCCTGAGATAAGATGGCAATACATATTCATATGAAAAAAAAAAAATTACCATTTTCATCAATTGCTTTCTGACAAAGAGTAGGGCAAAACCCCATCTCAATGAGCAATGACTTCACGTTACTTCCAGAAGAAGACGTAGCGGCATTGTCCTGCACATCAAGTAGGAAACAATAAGAACCTCCATGAACCACTACTAGTTCTTTCACCTATGTTTTCAAATACAGACACAACAATGGATGTTTAAGAATCCAATTTGTCTCTTAGGTGTAGAAAGGTTAACATACACCAGTCTGCTGAGGGTAAGACGTGTCGCAGGGCAAGTCAAAATCTAAGGTTTCTGGTTTTGGAAACAGTGTGTGCTCATTTCTTTCATGATCAGAGGAGCCTCCACCTCTGTTTCGACGCAAATCTCCCTGGAAGATTACCAAAATTCTGAAAAAAATGCAACACAATAAAACTAAAAAAATAAGCGAATCCAAATATAAATCCTAAGGTAGTCGAACTACATACCATTTCGATGATATAATCACAGAAAAATGTTCACGAGCATGATCCACAAACTCCACAGCAAGACTAAATTGATCAAATGAAAGATGCCTGCGCATAGCGTGGTATATGTATAGTGTCACCATTATGGATTGTATGAAAATGTACAAAGAATAGTTGTCAAAACAAAAATAATTTGGAATAAGAATGCTCATGCTCATAGCTCAATGATAGATCATTCTCGCATAAACAGCAAGGAATCGATGAATCGTTAAGAAGAATCTAAAATTCGTACACCCCCGAAAATACAACTCCTAACTACGAATGTAGACGAGTTAAGCGAATTTCGAATTTCGAATTTCACACAAATCTCAGAGATTGCGACAAAAGGGACCTGTAAACGTACTTGCTCGGGAAGGTGCATGCCTGTGCGGTGGTCCGCGTCTCACCCAATCGAGTCCACTCCGGCGGAGGAAAGCTGGGAACTGATCGCACTGTGTCGCGGCGACTGGACTTGCACAGCGGACTGTGGTGAAAATAAAATCTGAAACGAAAGATTTATTTTATTTAAACGTCACTAAACCGGAGCTTATTAGTATTGATTCCTTCAACGAATCTCTAAGCAGCCCGATCGACGGGCGCGTGAGATAAACGAACGGCCGAAATCATAGACTTTTTCATATTTTGTGTTTTAGATAACACTGATAATCTCTGTCGTTCTTTGATAATACTAATTTGTTTTTAAAAAATGTTTCTAATAAGACTGCAAAATTTGTATACGATTTAGTTCCATTAGATAGAGTTATAATAAATAGAACAATCGATTTTTAAATTAGTAAAATTGTATTACATGTAAAAGAAAATTAGGTGGTTGGCCCGCACATATGTGCGGATATAATTTTTTTGATATACATAGTTAATTATAATATTTAAGTATTGATTAGTTTTTTTTAAACATTGGTATGTTTGTATATATCTATTGTTTTAATATTTTACAAACTTCTTTCTGAAACCAATGTATTTTAAAACTTTTTATTTGTATAATGTTTGTAATACTATATAATCACAAAATTAAAAGATATATTAAATAAAAATTAAATTCTTATAATATTTTTTGAATATTTTTATAATATGCTTTATTTCTCTTTACACAATTTACAATATGCTTTTTGCGTCTTACATAATATGAATTTGCAAATACATGAATAATATATTTTAAGTATATATTTTTCTTGATTTATTACAAATTAAACTGAAATATTTTTTACAATTTTTACTTATTCCTAAGAGCGGATAGATGGTTGGCATGCATGTGCGGGCATACTAACCACTTCACTGCATTTAGAATAGATAATTTAAAAAAAAAACATAAATTGTATAATAATCAAAATAAAAATTAGACTGTAATCAAGCTTAATAAAATACATGTACGAAAAAGTTTTCATGTGACTTAACTAATGGACAATTAATATTTATGTCTCTACGCGTATTTGTAAAAAAATCGAAATATGGCTCTTACATGTTAAAAAGTTTTTAAGTGACTTTGTAAAACAAAGTACGAGAGATTTATTTCTATATACTTCTATTTTTATTTTTTATTCATATTTGTTTCATCTTATTTTATTTATTCTTTCGTTCGATTATTTTTTATTTCATTTATAATCTCAAATTTTTGATATACAATGAAAATAAATTTATGTTTATTTATATATATAGGAATATGATATAAATTTTTATTTTTATTTAAAATATGATAACTGATAAGATGAGATGGTAACATAAGTTATAGAAAAATAACAATAAAAAGATGATAAAAGTTATAGAAAAATATATGTTCCTATTAATATTATAAAATAATAATTAGAATATAGTTATTCATTTACTAAATACTAGGTGGTTGCCCGCACATATGTACGGGTATAAATTTTTTTATATACATAGTTAATTGTAATATTTAAATACTGATTAGTTTTTTAAACATTAGTATGTTTGTATATATATTGTTTTAATATTTCACAAATTTCTTTCTGAAACCAATGTATTTTAAAAACTTTATTTTTATAATGCTTGTAATAATATATAATCACAAATATAAAAGTTATATTAAATAATAATTAAATTCTTATAATATTTTTTGAATATTTCTATAATATGTTTTATTTCTCCTTATACAATCTACAATATATTTTTTGCATCTTAAATAATATGAATTTGCAAATACATATATAATATATTTTAAGTATATATTTTTCTTGATTTTTTGTAAATTAAACTGAAATAGTTTTTACCATTTTTACTTATTCTTAAAAGCGGATAGATGGTTGGCACGCATGTGCAGACATACCAACCACTTCACTACACTTAGAATAGATAAATATTTTTACAAAAATATTTTTTAACACCTAAGAGTCATATTTCAACTTTTTACAAACACGCGTACATACATAAATATTAATTGTACATTAGTTGAAGTCACATGCAAACTTTTCCGTGCATGTATTTTGTTAAGATTGATTACAGACTAATTTTCATTTTATTTATGTTCTCAAATTTTGATATACAATGAAAATAAATTTATGTATATATATACACATATGATATAAAATTTATTTTTATTTAAAATATGATAAGAGATAAGATGAGATGGTAACATAAGTTATGTACATTTTAGAAAACAATAATAAAAAATGATAAAAGTTATAGAAAAATATATGGTCCTATTAATATTATAAAATAATAGTTAGTATATACTTTATTCATTTATTAAATATTTTTTTGAAAAGAAAAATTATTTAAAATTACGTTTTAAAAAAAAATCAATAAAAGTTGATTATTTTTTATTATTTTTAACATTTTATTCTTTAAATTATTTTTATCATGATTGTATTTTATTTAAAATTTTATTATTTAATAATTTGTTTATTTAAAACTTGTTTAGATGTTATTAATATATTTTGTAAATTAGTAACTTTCCGAAATAAAAATATATCATACTTCAAGTATTAATAACAAATAGAATTTTTATTATTCTATTGGATAATTTAGTATTATTTTTTGTTTTATATGAAATTATAATATATATATATATATATTGTTAAAAAAAATTCGTAATTATATTTTATGAAATTATGAATATATGTAAAAAAATTGAAATTATAATAACTTTTATTTTCTGTTAATTTAAATTTGTTAATTTTAGTGTTACAAATATAATATAGTTTATTTATGTTTTAATTCCATAATTTCTATAATTTTAATTCAACCAATCAAAACATTTCGTTTATTTTAGGAAGTTTGACATGTCACATTTACATGTCATCAATTAAAAGCACTAACTTTTGCTGTAGTGTTGACAAGTAAGATATTTTCAATAATGTTACTTCTCAAATAATATGTAGTGGATTGGTTTGAAAAAAAAAGTTATTTTAAATTATGTTTTATAAAAAAATGTCAATGAGAGTTAATTATATATATTTTTTTAACATTTTATTATATAGATTATTTTTATCATGGTTTTATTTAATTTAAAATTATATTATTTAATAAATTGTTTATTTAAAACTTGTTTAGATGTTATTACTATATTTTGAAAATTAATAACTTTCCAAAATAAAAATATATCATAGGTGAAGTATTATTAATATATACAATTTTTACTATTCTATTGGATAATTTAGTATTATTTTATCTTTTTATATGAAATTATAATATATATATTTTTGAAAAAATTTGTAATTTTTATTTTATGAAATTATGAATATATGTAAAAAAATTATAATTATAATAATTATTATTTTCTGTTAATTTAAATTTGTTAATATTAGTATTATAAATATAATCTAGTGTATTTATGTTTTAATTCCAGAATTTCTTTGATTTTAATTCAACCAATCAGAACATTTCATTTATTTTAGGATGTTTGACATGTCACATTTACATGTCATCAATTAAAAGCACTAACTTTGGCTGTAGTGTTGACAAGTAAGCTATTTTTAATAATGTTACTTCTCAAATAATATGTAGTAGATTGTTGAAAAAAATTCGTAATTTTTATTTTATGAAATTATGAATATATGTAAAAAAATTATAATTATAATAATTATTATTTTCTGTTAATTTAAATTTGTTTATTTTAGTGTTATAAATATAACTAGGTGGTTGCCCGCACATATGTACGGGTATAAATTTTTTTATATACATAGTTAATTGTAATATTTAAATACTGATTAGTTTTTTTAAACATTAGTATGTTTGTATATATATTATTTTAATATTTCACAAATTTCTTTCTGAAACCAATGTATTTTAAAAACTTTATTTTTATAATGCTTGTAATAATATATAATCACAAATATAAAAGTTATATTAAATAATAATTAAATTCTTATAATATTTTTTGAATATTTCTATAATATGTTTTATTTCTCCTTATACAATCTACAATATATTTTTTGCATCTTAAATAATATGAATTTGCAAATACATATATAATATATTTTAAGTATATATTTTTCTTGATTTTTTGTAAATTAAACTGAAATAGTTTTTACCATTTTTACTTATTCTTAAAAGCGGATAGATGGTTGGCACGCATGTGCAGACATACCAACCACTTCACTACACTTAGAATAGATAAATATTTTTACAAAAATATTTTTTAACACCTAAGAGTCATATTTCAACTTTTTACAAACACGCGTACATACATAAATATTAATTGTACATTAGTTGAAGTCACATGCAAACTTTTCCGTGCATGTATTTTGTTAAGATTGATTACAGACTAATTTTCATTTTATTTATGTTCTCAAATTTTGATATACAATGAAAATAAATTTATGTATATATATACACATATGATATAAAATTTATTTTTATTTAAAATATGATAAGAGATAAGATGAGATGGTAACATAAGTTATGTACATTTTAGAAAATAATAATAAAAAATGATAAAAGTTATAGAAAAATATATGGTCCTATTAATATTATAAAATAATAGTTAGTATATACTTTATTCATTTATTAAATATTTTTTTGAAAAGAAAAATTATTTAAAATTACGTTTTAAAAAAAAATCAATAAAAGTTGATTATTTTTTATTATTTTTAACATTTTATTCTTTAAATTATTTTTATCATGATTGTATTTTATTTAAAATTTTATTATTTAATAATTTGTTTATTTAAAACTTGTTTAGATGTTATTAATATATTTTGTAAATTAGTAACTTTCCGAAATAAAAATATATCATACTTCAAGTATTAATAACAAATAGAATTTTTATTATTCTATTGGATAATTTAGTATTATTTTTTGTTTTATATGAAATTATAATATATATATATATATTGTTAAAAAAAATTCGTAATTATATTTTATGAAATTATGAATATATGTAAAAAAATTGAAATTATAATAACTTTTATTTTCTGTTAATTTAAATTTGTTAATTTTAGTGTTACAAATATAATATAGTTTATTTATGTTTTAATTCCATAATTTCTATAATTTTAATTCAACCAATCAAAACATTTCGTTTATTTTAGGAAGTTTGACATGTCACATTTACATGTCATCAATTAAAAGCACTAACTTTTGCTATAGTGTTGACAAGTAAGATATTTTCAATAATGTTACTTCTCAAATAATATGTAGTGGATTGGTTTGAAAAAAAAAGTTATTTTAAATTATGTTTTATAAAAAAATGTCAATGAGAGTTAATTATATATATTTTTTTAACATTTTATTATATAGATTATTTTTATCATGGTTTTATTTAATTTAAAATTATATTATTTAATAAATTGTTTATTTAAAACTTGTTTAGATGTTATTACTATATTTTGAAAATTAATAACTTTCCAAAATAAAAATATATCATAGGTGAAGTATTATTAATATATACAATTTTTACTATTCTATTGGATAATTTAGTATTATTTTATCTTTTTATATGAAATTATAATATATATATTTTTGAAAAAATTTGTAATTTTTATTTTATGAAATTATGAATATATGTAAAAAAATTATAATTATAATAATTATTATTTTCTGTTAATTTAAATTTGTTAATATTAGTATTATAAATATAATCTAGTGTATTTATGTTTTAATTCCAGAATTTCTTTGATTTTAATTCAACCAATCAGAACATTTCATTTATTTTAGGATGTTTGACATGTCACATTTACATGTCATCAATTAAAAGCACTAACTTTGGCTGTAGTGTTGACAAGTAAGCTATTTTTAATAATGTTACTTCTCAAATAATATGTAGTAGATTGTTGAAAAAAATTCGTAATTTTTATTTTATGAAATTATGAATATATGTAAAAAAATTATAATTATAATAATTATTATTTTCTGTTAATTTAAATTTGTTTATTTTAGTGTTATAAATATAACTAGGTGGTTGTCCGCACATATGTACGGGTATAAATTTTTTTATATACATAGTTAATTGTAATATTTAAATACTGATTAGTTTTTTTAAACATTAGTATGTTTGTATATATATTATTTTAATATTTCACAAATTTCTTTCTGAAACCAATGTATTTTAAAAACTTTATTTTTATAATGCTTGTAATAATATATAATCACAAATATAAAAGTTATATTAAATAATAATTAAATTCTTATAATATTTTTTGAATATTTCTATAATATGTTTTATTTCTCCTTACACAATCTATAATATATTTTTTGCATCTTAAATAATATGAATTTGCAAATACATATATAATATATTTTAAGTATATATTTTTCTTGATTTTTTGTAAATTAAACTGAAATAGTTTTTACCATTTTTACTTATTCTTAAAAGCGGATAGATGGTTGGCACGCATGTGCAGACATACCAACCACTTCACTACACTTAGAATAGATAAATATTTTTACAAAAATATTTTTTAACACCTAAGAGTCATATTTCAACTTTTTACAAACACGCGTACATACATAAATATTAATTGTACATTAGTTAAAGTCACATGCGAACTTTTCCGTGCATGTATTTTGTTAAGATTGATTACAGACTAATTTTCATTTTATTTATGTTCTCAAATTTTGATATACAATGAAAATAAATTTATGTATATATATACACATATGATATAAAATTTATTTTTATTTAAAATATGATAAGAGATAAGATGAGATGGTAACATAAGTTATGTACATTTTAGAAAACAATAATAAAAAATGATAAAAATTATAGAAAAATATATGGTCCTATTAATATTATAAAATAATAGTTAATATATACTTTATTCATTTATTAGATATTTTTTTGAAAAGAAAAATTATTTAAAATTACGTTTTAAAAAAAAATCAATAAAAGTTGATTATTTTTTATGATTTTAAACATTTTATTCTTTAAATTATTTTTATCATGTTTGTATTTTATTTAAAATTTTATTATTTAATAATTTGTTTATTTAAAACTTGTTTAGATGTTATTAATATATTTTGTAAATTAATAACTTTCCGAAATAAAAATATATCATACTTCAAGTATTAATAACAAATAGAATTTTTATTATTCTATTGGATAATTTAGTATTATTTTTTGTTTTATATGAAATTATAATATATATATATTGTTAAAAAAATTTCGTAATTATATTTTATGAAATTATGAATATATGTAAAAAAATTGAAATTATAATAACTTTTATTTTCTGTTAATTTAAATTTATTAATTTTAGTGTTACAAATATAATATAGTTTATTTATATTTTAATTCCATAATTTCTATAATTTTAATTCAACCAATCAAAACATTTCGTTTATTTTAGGAAGTTTGACATGTCACATTTACATGTCATCAATTAAAAGCACTAACTTTTGCTGTAGTGTTGACAAGTAAGATATTTTCAATAATGTTACTTCTCAAATAATATGTAGTGGATTGGTTTGAAAAAAAAAAATTATTTTAAATTATGTTTTTTAAAAAAAAGTCAATGAGAGTTAATTATATATATTTTTTAACATTTTATTATATAGATTATTTTTATCATGGTTTTATTTAATTTAAAATTATATTATTTAATAAATTGTTTATTTAAAACTTGTTTAGATGTTATTACTATATTTTGAAAATTAATAACTTTCCAAAATAAAAATATATCATAGGTGAAGTATTATTAATATATAGAATTTTTACTATTCTATTGGATAATTTAGTATTATTTTATCTTTTTATATGAAATTATAATATATATATATTGTTGAACAAATTTTTAATTTTTATTTTATGAAATTATGAATATATGTAAAAAAATTATAATTATAATAATTATTATTTTCTGTTAATTTAAATTTGTTAATATTAGTATTATAAATATAATCTAGTGTATTTATGTTTTAATTCCAGAATTTCTTTGATTTTAATTCAACCAATCAGAATATTTCATTTATTTTAGGATGTTTGACATGTCACATTTACATGTCATCAATTAAAAGCACTAACTTTGGCTGTAGTGTTGACAAGTAAGCTATTTTTAATAATGTTACTTCTCAAATAATATGTAGTAGATTGTTGAAAAAAATTCGTAATTTTTATTTTATGAAATTATGAATATATGTAAAAAAATTATAATTATAATAATTATTATTTTCTGTTAATTTAAATTTGTTAATTTTAGTGTTATAAATATAACTAGGTGGTTGCCCGCACATATGTACGGGTATAAATTTTTTTATATACATAGTTAATTGTAATATTTAAATACTGATTAGTTTTTTTAAACATTAGTATGTTTGTATATATATTGTTTTAATATTTCACAAATTTCTTTCTGAAACCAATGTATTTTAAAAACTTTATTTTTATAATGCTTGTAATAATATATAATCACAAATATAAAAGTTATATTAAATAATAATTAAATTCTTATAATATTTTTTGAATATTTCTATAATATGTTTTATTTCTCCTTACACAATCTACAATATATTTTTTTGCATCTTAAATAATATGAATTTACAAATACATATATAATATATTTTAAGTATATATTTTTCTTGATTTTTTGTAAATTAAACTGAAATAGTTTTTACCATTTTTACTTATTCTTAAAAGCGGATAGATGGTTGGCACGCATGTGCAGACATACCAACCACTTCACTACACTTAGAATAGATAAATATTTTTACAAAAATATTTTTTAACACCTAAGAGTCATATTTCAACTTTTTACAAACACGCGTACATACATAAATATTAATTGTACATTAGTTGAAGTCACATGCGAACTTTTCCGTGCATGTATTTTGTTAAGATTGATTACAGACTAATTTTCATTTTATTTATGTTCTCAAATTTTGATATACAATGAAAATAAATTTATGTATATATATACACATATGATATAAAATTTATTTTTATTTAAAATATGATAAGAGATAAGATGAGATGGTAACATAAGTTATGTACATTTTAGAAAACAATAATAAAAAATGATAAAAATTATAGAAAAATATATGGTCCTATTAATATTATAAAATAATAGTTAGTATATACTTTATTCATTTATTAGATATTTTTTTGAAAAGAAAAATTATTTAAAATTACGTTTTAAAAAAAAATCAATAAAAGTTGATTATTTTTTATGATTTTAAACATTTTATTCTTTAAATTATTTTTATCATGTTTGTATTTTATTTAAAATTTTATTATTTAATAATTTGTTTATTTAAAACTTGTTTAGATGTTATTAATATATTTTGTAAATTAATAACTTTCCGAAATAAAAATATATCATACTTCAAGTATTAATAACAAATAGAATTTTTATTATTCTATTGGATAATTTAGTATTATTTTTTGTTTTATATGAAATTATAATATATATATATATTGTTAAAAAAATTTCGTAATTATATTTTATGAAATTATGAATATATGTAAAAAAATTGAAATTATAATAACTTTTATTTTCTGTTAATTTAAATTTATTAATTTTAGTGTTACAAATATAATATAGTTTATTTATGTTTTAATTCCATAATTTCTATAATTTTAATTCAACCAATCAAAACATTTCGTTTATTTTAGGAAGTTTGACATGTCACATTTACATGTCATCAATTAAAAGCACTAACTTTTGCTGTAGTGTTGACAAGTAAGATATTTTCAATAATGTTACTTCTCAAATAATATGTAGTAGATCTAGTGTATTTATGTTTTTATTTTAGAATTTCTTTGATTTTAATTCAACCAATCAGAATATTTCATTTATTTTAGGATGTTTGACATGTCACATTTACATGTCATCAATTAAAAACACTAACTTTGGTTGTAATGTTGACAAGTAAGCTATTTTTAATAATGTTACTTCTCAAATAATATGTAGTAGATGTTTTTAATTACGTATGCAACATGTTAAACATCCAAACTGATGAAACGAATTTTTTTGATGTAAGAAGCAGTTATATGGGTAACTGTCATTGACCATGGTCTTAAGTTAGACAATGACAGTTGATGTGGAAACCCCGGTTTACTTCTGTGAGTCGAGAGGAATCGTACCGATCGTTACCAACTTCGAAGACAGATGTGCAGATCCCTTAACTTTTATGGGCATTGATCCTACTCTGACCATGTCTTCACCAAGGGACCCAGTAACCTCTTCAGAAGGGTCTGACTTGTGGTCAGGGCTGAGAGAAGGGGCTGGCTTATACTTGGTTTGGGTCTGGTTAAAGGTGGTTCCAGCGGTTGGTTTGATGGTGAGAGAACCAATCTTTAGAGTGGAAGGAGTAGAATCTTCTCTAGCTTCCTCTGTATTGCTCTTTTCATCCCCATCTAAGTTTTTTAGCTGCGCATCCTCTGTCTCTGCCGAAGTCACTGAAGGTTTCTTGAAGACATCCTCTGCGATATTCTTGCTTTTGTCAGAAAAATACGGTTTCGGCCCGGGAAATGGGCTGCGAAAGGTCTTGAATGGAAGTTTAACTTTCTCTTCTTGCATGAGTCTCTGGCGGTTTTCGTAGTACATAAAATCATCTAAGAGCGAAGTCTTTTCCCTGTGATTTTTGAATAGTTTTAGCACCTCGAGTCCTTGTTTCAGCAAAATCTGCAAACGAGAATGATAAGATCAAGATTCCAGATATCAAAAAGCCGAGTTGGTCGGAATCTGATCATCAAAGTCACCTCTTGAGTGTCTCTGCTGTTGGTCACCGGCTTATTCTCATTATTGTGTAAAATAATGTGCCTGAAGAAGCTATTCGGAACATCTTTGATGATGTGCCATTTCACAGGAAAGCTTCCACTCCATTTGTCTTGCTGCCAAAAATCCATGTCTCGGTCGAAGGAAACTGGACCGGTCATCTCAGCCACGCCACAGAACAGACCACTGGAATTGACCTGACGGAGGGAAGCATTACATCAGCATGATTAAGCCCAAAGTATGAATGCAAGAAACATTAGCACGAGGGGAAAAAGAGGAAGAAAGGACTCACAGAAAAGAGTAAGAAAACAGGGCATTCACAAGACTTCTTAGCTATTCTCTGAGCATCCTCATATGCACTCTGCAATTTCTTGTTCCCGTGCAATGTTGATGACCAGACACCGTATTTAATGCTCTTGTGAACATCATCTTCACTGTACGATTTAATCACAAAGAGCTTGGCATTGCTGTAATCGATCCTGAAATCCTCTTTGTTATATTGATCAGGATTTACCACAATGTTTCCTTCCGCATCAGCATGTCCAGCTTTGGTCGTATAAGCTTTCACAATTAGTTGATTTCTTGATCTTAGACGTCGGTTTCGCTCGCTCGTATCTGTACTACCAATTACATCAGTCTTGTAACTATTTGAAGCAATGGATGAAACCCCATTATCTGACTGCACATAGGACAAGAGTTTGCTACTGGAATCATTGTCATCAGAAGCAGTTCTTCCCTGAAAAAGCATACCCGAGAATCAAAATAGGAATAATGACCAAGAAAGCAATGACTTATCAACCAACTTCTCCTAACGCAGGAGTACACAGGCATATCAACATTGAAAATTTTCAGTCATAATTATTCACGCTTGTGATTTTTCTCCGATTCCTTAACCTCCTATTGCCGATATTCATTTAAAACGAGAAATCACCTGGAGGGAATGTGTGTTAGCTGGAGTGGAAACACTCTTGGAGACTCCTCCTGTCTGTTTATTCTGTCCAGTGTTAGACCTTATCTTCTCACAGGTCTTGCCCAAAGAATTGACTGTAGAAGGTTTCGAACGGTTTCTTGGGAGCCAGGCAGTAGCCGAAGCATTACTCTGGCTGGTTCCTCTTCCATCAGATTGACCACCGTTGGCTAAATCAGTCCCTACCACCAAAGAATCTGTTGAACTATTCGAGACGATATCACATGGAGCATAAGTAGGCAAAGATGCAGCATTTGAGTAATATTGTTGGAATCCAGCAAAAGAAGAGTCTATTAAAGCGCCTGGAATGTAAGGATTGTATGGATTATAAGGAGACTGTGCATATCCATAGCAGAAATAGGGAGAATTCTCCATCTGCGAGGCGCAAAGATGAGAATGGTAGCACATAGGTAAGATTTAACAAATAAAAATGGGGTTTTTGAGAGAGTTCTCGCACCGTGTATTGGACTTGTGAACCTGTAGAGTAATAAGCAGGATAGTACATGTTCTGGTCAGTGACAATATCAGGTGCTCTCTCTGTATACATTTGCTTCAATTTATCTCATAGAATGTCCTGTTCAATGGAGTTTGAATCAACACCTGAAATATGTTAAAAACTAGTAAAAAAAAAGGGACTTTCGTGATCATTGTTTAAATGAGAATGAAGAATTCAGCTAAAAAAGCGTAAAAAATCAGATATTTTTTCATCGAATAGAGAGAAACTAGCGCAGCAGCAAAACTATCAGATCAATCTGATTCCCAAGATTCTCTTGCACTAGTAAACGAAAGAGAGAGAGAGCCGCTAAATCTAACGGAAGAGGCAGAGAAACCGTAGATGGGTAGATGGACGGAAACCTAATTGAGTCTCGAACAGCTAAAAAATGCAAAGATACACGGAACGGAAAAGCTAAGAAGCTTAACATCGACGTTGAAGTTAAAATGCTAGAAACGAAAATCAAATTTTCTCGTAAAACCAAATCCAGATTTTAAAGCAGGCAAGTAGTAGCAGAAATTTGATCACGGTACCAGAAATTAGGCAGAATCAAGCCATGGATTGACCTAAACCGTTCGTTCTTCGAATTGGGTACTGACAGTGAGAGAGAACGAGGTAAAGAGAGCGAATTTCAGCAGAAAATAGTTGAAATAGTATATGCCGAATCGAAACCCTATACACTAAGTTGAGTGAGAAGAAGACGAGAAGATTCGGTTAAGTGAGAAAAAATTGGAAATAGAAACCCAGAATACGCGCAAAGACAGATTCTCCAGTGTACATTGTTTGGTTGCAATACGCAGCGTTTTCAACCGCATAATAAATATAAAAGGTTGTTGTTATTTGTTTGTATGGCCTACATTATCCAACTACTGTATAGTATAAAAATACATGGAAATTAGAACCGCATAATAAATATAAAAGGTTGTTGTTATTTGTTTGTATGGCCTACATTATCCAACTACTGTATAGTATAAAAATACATGGAAATTAGAACCACGCTAAGAACAAGCGTTACGTACGATAGTATTAAAAATTCGTGAACTGCATACAAATTTCTTACAAAATATCTCTATAAGTAATCTGAAAATGCAACAAGGTTATTATTGAAGAGTTAGGGTAAAAAAAATAGACTCTTTTCCTTTCTTCCATTCTCAGACTTAGGAGTGGGTATTTCGGTTTTTGGTTTGGTTTCGGTTCGGTTTATTCGGTTTTATGGTTTATCGGTTTTACAAAAATTCAAACCATATAAAAGCCATATATATTTCGGTTCTGTATGGTTTGGTTTTTTACGGATCGGTTTATTATGGTTTGGTTTCGGTTTTTTAGAATTATATTTTTACAAAATTTTTTGATTCAAACTAATAGAAATAATAATAATAGATATGAGTGAAATAAAATAATAAATTCAAAAAATAGAATCTAAATCATAAAAAATCATCAATAACGACAAATTTCAAAACAGAAAACAAATAAATTATTAAATTTTTCATAATCAATAATTATAAAACAATAAACAAATCTATATTAAAATTTAATACCTATAAGACTATAACCTTGAAACTAGAACTAGAAAACTTGAATGTGAAGAAAAAATAGTTAATCACGTTATTTTTTATTGAAAAATTAAGGTTTACTTTATTATATTTATGTAGAGTTCTTTTATAAATATTATATTTTAAAAACCGAAAAAACATTTTGGTTTGACGGTTTTTAACCAAACCAAACCTAAATCAAAGCTATAAAAAAATGATAGCCAAATAGATTTTTAGGTTTAACCATAACTAAACCATATCACTTTTTTCGATTCGGTATGGTTTAGTTTTTTCGGTTATAGTTTTTTTGTCCACCCCTACTCAGACTGATTTCATATTGACAAGTTCATTATTAACAACAAGCTTGCTTGATTATGTCAAAAAAAATATTAAATGATATGTTTATCTTTTTTTTTTTGGTGAAAAACATGTCTATCTTATCTATTTGAAAGTTTAGTAAACAATGTTCTAGAACTAAATTTTAGTTAATTGGTTTCATTGGTTAATTTAGTCATTTTATTTATAATTAATTCTAAATTTTTTTCAGAAGATGTAGTTTTCAAATTATAAAGTAGTTTTACTGTATTTTCTCAAATTTTCTCTAAAATATAAGAAATCATCCGTGCAAGAAAAAAAAAGAAAAAGATGAATACTACTACTCCGAGGATGCTGGTTATATCCATCCAAAAAGTCATCTCGTTGAAGAATCCATCAAGATTCTCTTTTTGTAGCTCGAGTGATAAATTTGACGCCTCTTTCTATTCCTTTATTTTTTATAATTTCCTTTTCTTTTAATATTTTCTTAACTACCATTATTCCATATTTATTTGTATTCCATATTTATATTCCTTTCATTCAGCATACAGCTTGAAATCCAAGTAACCCCGTTCCTATTATCACCTTCTTCTCACAGTCCTGCAAATTAGGGTTTAAGCAAAAACGAAGCTAGAGAAGAGAGTCGATTTGTTGTTAGTCCTGCTTTCGTTTGAGAACTTTCTGGTGTAACCGTAACTTCGAAGATCCAAAGATGGCGCGTAATGAGGAGAAGGCGCAGTCGATGCTCAACAGGTTCATCACCATGAAAGAATCGGAGAAGAAGAAGCCCAAGGAGCGTCGGCCTTACCTTGCGTCAGAATGCCGAAATCTGGCGGAGGCAGACAAGTGGATGCAGCAAATTTCGCGAGAGATCGGTCGCAAAGTGACCGAGATTCACAACGAAGGGTTGGGCGAGCACATAATCCGCGACCTGAACGACGAGATTAACAAGCTTCTCAGGGAGAAATACCACTGGGAGCGGCGGATCGTGGAGCTAGGCGGTCCGAATTACTCGGACGCTAGTGGTCGAGGTCCTGGGTATCGGTACTTCGGTCCTGCTAAGAACCTTCCAGGGGTTAGGGAGCTCTTCGAGAAGCCTCCGGAGCTGAGGAAGCGGAAAACAAGGTACGATATACACAAAAGGATAGACAGTAGCTATTACGGGTATAGAGACGACGAGGATGGGATGTTGGAGAAAGAGACGAATACGGAAGGTGAGACGAGGAAGAGAGATGTGGAGGAGTGGCGGAGATTGGATGAGGTGAGGAGGGAAGCGAGGAAGGGAGCGACGGAGGTTGTGAGCGTAGGAGCTGCAGCGGCTAAGGAGGTGTTGTTCGAGGAGGAAGAGGATGTGGTGGAGGAGGAGAGGAGGGAAAAGGAGGAGAAAGAGATGGAGTTTGTGGTTCACGTTCCGTTGCCGGACGAGAAGGAAATAGAGAAGATGGTGTTAAAGAAGAAGAAGATGGATCTGCTTAGAGAGTATGCAAGTGAAGATTTGGTTAAGCAGCAGACGGAGACTAAAGCCATGCTCAATATCCGGAGATAGACAAAAGACTATGGCAGGGTCCGTAGGGAGAGAGACGAGAGAGGGAGAGATACTTTCTCACGTGAGTGTCTCTTGTTTTCAACTTTTTATTATGGAAGTCTCTCATGTGAGTGTCTCTCTTGTTTCACGGATTAACTAACTCATCATCAATATTACAGATTCAGGGATCAATCTTTTTGGTATGTCTTCATAAATTTTGGGTACCTTAAAATTAATTGATAGATGAGATTTTTTTTTCAAAAAGAAAATACCATTATGCTAAGGGCAGTGAGAATTTTCAATCTAATGGTTTTAAAACTTCTTCAAATGCCTCAAAAGTCTCAATGAAACATGGAACACCAAACTGACTCAGGAATCACAAACACAAGATGATCAAAACCGCATCAACACTTGGACAAAGAGAAAAGACTAGTTTATCAATGTTTAGTGGCACTCAGAGAAGAAACTGGTGTATACCGGAAAAGCATTGAGAAAGGTTGAGATAACTTCAGAGGGTACGACTTTTACTACTTTCTGGTGATGCTTCTCCATTAATGATAAAACTAGTTTCTGAGGATCTATTTCATTCAGTGTACCTGCAAAATCAGTACCTTTTAAAATCGCTATTTTAATCACATGTTTGTTTTTTTTAATCTTGTTGACTTGTTGTGAGAAGCAACTTACCTAAATCAATCTCACGCTCATCATCTTCTTCATCCGCCTCTTCAATCACTTCGCCCTCCTCCAATGCTGCTGCAGCTTTAGCATACCTTTCCATAAATTCTTCCTCCGTTTCGTCACACTCATCGCTCTCTGAATCCTGTTCAAAGACACAAGATGAAACGGCTTATTTGAAACAGTAACAAATCACTAGAAGAACATCCAATGCTGTTTCTTGAACCTAGCCCATTATATAAAACTACTTTGCAAATGGAACAGAAAACTGATTCCCCTTCATATGAGTTTATATTTTACTAGATACCACCCTCTTGTTGTAGGGCAAGAACAGAGCTCACAAAAACTTTGAATGTTATTTAATAACGAGTACTAGCAATTAAACCAAACCTCGTTATTTGAACCACTCTCTTCAGATTCTGTCTCTTCTTCTTCAGGTTCTCCATCATCGTCTGTTTCTTCCTTCATGTCCTCTAGCCTCCCACAAGCCTCCATTAATGAAACGAAGCACCTTCTTGCCAAATCATCATTTGCATTCCCATGCCTTACATCAAAAAGCTGCTCGATCACCTTTACTAGCGTCATCACTAAAAAAAAGAGGTTTTTTAGTCTATGCTCATACATTTATTTCATTCAACAATGGCTACTATATACAACTAAACCTTTATAAGATCATGTGACTCGTTGCATAAAGCAGAGATTTTGACTTGTGAGCTGTAACCGTAAGTTTTTAAACATTCTGAATCATCAGCACAGAAACTAAAGGTTTATCTACTCACCATACAGCTTTACTTCCGGTGCTGTTGATGGACTGGCATCAAACGTAAGCGAGTATGAAAATGCCAATGAGGATACCCATAACTCGAAACCGCCAGATATCACTTTCTCTAAAACGCCTTCCACAATATCGGAATAAGAGATATAGCATGATGATATTGCCAGCAAAAGAGGCCTCCACAATGAACAAGGTTTCTCACGCAATTCTAGAAAACGAGAAAAAGCTGCTTCACTGAAGACCACCGCCAATGATTTCCCGACCCCTTCAATGTCAGATGTGTAGTCTGGTACATGTAATAACGCATGGACACAAGAACAAGCCCTCCTTGTGGCAGACGGGTACTCAAGTATAGCTTTGCTGACAAACGAACCAATGGATTCAACAACAGACCGTGGACGGACTGGCATGGCTGGAGGGGATGGCATATCTCTGAATAGGAAATTCCTAATACCATATTTATTATTTATTCCCACAACTTCTTCTATGCAGTCGAAGACTGCCAAGTCCTCTGACTCTTCCCAACCATTCCAGCTAGCAAGAAGATTAGCCCAAACTACGAGTAATTCAGTTAATCTGAGCTCCACAACTACGTTGCAATTGGTAGAAGCAAGCACAATGAACCGCAACATCGTCGACAAATGATCTATGCATGAAGTAGGAGGCACATCTGTTGCCTGAATCATGAAAATATAAATGGCAGAGCAGTATTAGAACAGGACTTCTATGTTACATGCAGGCACATGCTTGGCTTTCATTTCTATAATTCTTTGTACAGTATAAAGAAACAGTAGTGCCTGAAGATATCACAAAGGGATTAGAGTAAGACAGTGTTTAACTACCAGCCATGCGTGCTGCAAAAGTGCTGACAAAGCTTTGCTGATGGTGCCTTGTCCGGTTAGCCATATTTCACTGGCTTCATTTTTTTCCTCGTCCGTTTCAGGCTTCGAGCTCTCATAAGTCTGAGCCATTGATGCTAATGTCTCAAGGCCCCCCAGGATAGCCTAAGTTGAA